GAGTTATTCTGAATCTCTAATGATCACAGTTTTAGTCAAAGCAGCTTCTGTCCATAACTCTTTCAAGACATTAATTATCTTCTTATCTCTTTGACTCAAATAAGACTCATATGCTTAGGTACATACTATAAAAACTTTTAATAAAATTTCTGTATATATGAAACACAAATTGATAAAATGCATTATTGTCTGTGTAAGAATGTTAAAATAGCATAATACTGGAGGAGAAAGTGAATGGTAATTTTTTGTGCTGCTTCACATATAGAATTTCAACAAGTCAAGAGGAGAATTAAGAAACTTCTGATTTTCCTGAAATAATGGTTTTTATCCAATCTAGCTACTTAAGAACTTGTGATTTATTTTAACTCAAGATATAAACATAAGAGCTGAGAATTTCAGGGAAGAGTGCTAGTTTATACACTGTGCTCAATATGGAACATTGTTTATGGAGGCAAGTTTCCATTAGAGGGTCTCAGCAGTGACACCACACAGCCTGCCTTCTTCCTGTCTGTGGGTCCTGGCTTTCCCTAAGCCTCTGAGCAGGGGGCTGTCTTCATGGAGCTCTAAGGTTTTTGTTAAGCCTCCACTCTCATTTCTCTAATTGTGGGATTCTAAGAGCACAGAAGCACTTCGTTGAGTCTTCCAGTTGCAAAGAGGAGATGGTGAGGCTGAAGGAGTTTTTTGCATTTTGAAAGTTCAGAGTAGGAACCCTGCTTTGCATTTAATTGATAATAATTCTGCGAAATAAGGAAAACCATCTCTCCACTGGAAGAATCCTTATACCAGTAAAAGTAATAAGTATCAGTACTCCAGCTGGTTTCATACGTGCAGGACAGGGTCATAGCTTCCCTTTCCTGAGCTGTTATTGTAGCTTGAGCTGGGGTTACTCTGTCAGCCATGCTGGATCCTGTGAAAAGAGAAGACAGGGTTGGCTCTAAAATGTCTCAGAGGGGTCATGAGGACTGCATTAGTTTACTACAAAAAAACTAAGAAAAGAATCACATAGTGTTTCACTTCCCCAGCTCTCTTCCCTCTTAGTACCCCCACCAGTTCCAGTTAGAAGTTCCACAGTTCTGTCCTTGACTCCTAGGAGGAGGCTGGGGTCCCATGTCTGGACACACGTTCTGAAGGCAAAGGAAGCTATGAATGTCCACAGCAGGCCAGGGCAGAGCATGATCAAAGTTCTTCTCTTGGTTGAAATTTCTCCTGATCTCACTCCAGCCCAGACACCAGCCCTTCTCTGATGCCTGAGTGTAGAGTAGCTGGGCTATTTGAAGTTTCTGCCCCAGACAGGAAATACAGTTCTAAGTGGGATGTTACACTGCTCTGCTCAGAGACTGGAACATCTACCTGACCCCAGACCTCTGTTTGCCTTATGTTTCTTCTGTGGCAATACATTTGAAAAGCGACTATTAGATCTAGCAAGGTATAGGAAAGAAGTTTAATTTTATTTTGATATTGAATTCACATTGAATACAATTGTGATCAGAGATTATATTCTGAATGATTTAAAGCCTTTTAAATTGATTAAGGCTTGCTTTAAACCAGAATATAGTGAACCTGGATAAATAATCCATGTGCATTTGAAAAGAGTATGTATTCTGATGTTTGTGTGTAATGTGTTCTATAGATGAAATTTGGGTACAGAATTTTACTTTTGTTGGTCACATTTCTATTATGTTTCTACTGAAACATATTTCACTATGTTCATACATTGCCTGCCACTGTAGTTGTACATTTGATTATTAATTTCTTAAGTCAATAAAGTTCACTAGTTAAGTTTTACTTATTAGTGTTTGGTATATTTTGAAGGTACACTATTGGGTGCATATAGAAATAGAATTGTTCTCTCTTCTGACAGATTATCTGCTTAATCATTTTAAAGCATTGTTCTGTACTGGCTTAATGTCTACTTTATCTGATATTAATGTAACTACTCAACTTCTTTTTGTTAGAGACTCCAACTGTCTAGTTATCCATATCAAAAGAATGAAGTATCTCTACTTACCAAATTCTCTTGAAATGGATCAATGATCTCAATGTACAAACTAAAACTATAATACTCTTAGAAGAAAACATAGATGTAAATCTTCATGACCTTGGGTTAGGCAATGGTTTTTAAAGTATTACCTCAAAATACAAGCCCTTAAAGAAAAAATAAGTTAGATGTCTTCAAAATTAAAAATACTCTTGCCTCAAAAGATACTATGAAGAAAGTGAAAAAGAAACCACAGAATGGAAGAAAGTATTTCCAAATCTTATGTGCTTAGGGTCAAGTATCCTGCACATATAAAGAACTTCTACAACTCAACCATAAAAAGACAAATTACCCAAGGGAAATTTTAATTTGAACAGTGCCTTAACCAAGGCTGCTTATGGTAGTGGGGATGAAGGTGAAAGAAACGTTCCTTTTCAGCATATGCCCTTTATATAATTTTATTTTATACCATGAGTCTTTATTATTTATTCAAAAATCCAATAATTATTTTTATTAAAAATTTTTGCAGTAATCTTAGCTCTCCTTTTTTGCTGATAAAGGAGTTGGTAAGCTTTCTTCTCCAATTGAGACACTTTGTTTAAAAGAATTATTATTTTCATTTCCTGCAGGAACATTTGGGAAAAATAGAGAAAATTCATTTTGTTGCTGATGTGAATACACACCTGTAAGATATGAAGGGATTGGTGGTATGTTTGGGCAATGACTCAAAGCTCTTGAGTAGTGTCACTGAACCCTGGGTGTACACTGCCATAAAATTAAATTTTTTCCCCATTTTTTCTGGGAAGCAGAAATGCATCTAAGGACAAAGGCAGAGTAGAGTTCAATGTTGCCATTCCCTTGTCACCCTGCTGAATCTTCAGCACCAAGAACAGTGTGTGGCACATAGTAGACAGTCAGTCAATATTTGTTGGAAATAGAACACGTATAATGCAAAAAAGCATAGCAGGAATTCCTCTGATAGCTACTTAAATTGTATCTTTCATAACCAAGCATCCACACTCTGAAGATAGACTGTGCAGAGGAGAACGGGCATAAATATTACATAACAAATATTTTTTATATGTTAAATTAATGAGTTAGGCATATGCAGACACACCTAGATTGAAATTGCTCATAGTAAATGATTATCTATGGTAAAGGAATTTTGAATGACTTTAATTTCCCCTTATTTTCTATACTTTCAAAAATGTCCAAAAGAAGGATGTGTTGATTTTACAATAATTTCTTTAAATCAAACTTGTTTTTCTCTAAAGGCCACCATACTGTTATACAGAATTGTTTTAGATCCCCTTGGTCGCTGTAGGATTTGGGAAGTGTAGATTTCAATGACAGAACCTCATATATCCAAATTATCTTTACAATTTACACATCTGCTTGAAAAACCACTTTTCCTCCTCTAGAACATACTGGAGTTAATGCAAATTGTTGCAACTCTTCTTGAGTGATTTGTAACCAAAAGTATTATAATCACAAAATTGGATCTCTGCATTCATTTCAAGTTGGAAACAAGCAATTAATGCAAGCTGTTCTAACCCCAAACCTGGTACAGGACAAAGAATGTGGGGGACCCCGCTGCCGGCTGCAGGTGCCTGGAAGGGTGAGCTGGCTGCACAGAGTACAAGGCTGGTCTCCTGGCTGGGCGCTGTGACAGGCGAGGAAACATAGGAAACATTGTATTCTACAGCATTGTGAATCTTCTGTCCTGTTTTCCAGCCACACATGAACAGATCCCCACCGGCAGAAGAGGGTCTCTCCTGCTCCTTCGTGCCCCAGAGAGAGTTCAGAGCCCGTCTGCATCACTGCAGTTGTCAGCAGCCATTTCTCTCTGCTGACAACCAGGACTGGAGGACTCTGCACCACGTCCTTGTTTGGGCCACTCGCCACTGCTGAGACACTGAAAACAGGTTCCTGGGTCATTTTCAGAATTTATATTTCCTTTTTAGGGTATCTATAGGAATCCTGAGGAGAACCCGGTGAACTTCTTTTCCCTCTGCAGACTTGTGATGAAACTTTCCAGAACCCCTGGACCTACAGTGTCAGCATCCATGACACATCATTGACAGATAAAAATATTAATGAGAAACATCTTTTTTAGCACCTTTCTCAAAACTACACCCAGAGAAGAAAAGCATAGAATAAACATCCTGACAGGTAATACTCCATGAAGGTAAAGGACTGAGAGAAGATCATATAACACAAGTAAGAAGAGGGGCTCATGCCACCTAATGTGATCCGAGAGTGGTGATCAGCCACGTCATCTCTAGAAATACAAAAAAGTAGAAGATCTGAGATAATGAATCTTACAATAGAGATCCCCTGAACTTAAGTATAACAGCTTTCTGAAACAGTTATTGCTTCATGAGATTCTAAAAATCTAGCTCCTCAAATTAATGGTAATTTCTATAATTAATATGAGGATACTGTGGATGTGGTAAAAAAGAGTCTACCTTTGAGAGCAACTCTCTCATCTTTTAACTCCACTCTCAGCTTTTAGCTGCCCCTGAGGTCCTGCAGCACAGAGACCATCTCCTCTCCTCCGGCTCTTGCTAATCCCGCGACAGGAGATGCTGTTTATCCTTCAGTGCTGGCTGGGCTCCCTTTGTGGGCAGGTAGGCTTCTCCCCTGCCCCTGTGCCTGAATCTCGGGTTTAAGATGGTCTCAGCACTCACGCCTCTCTTCCCATGGCAGCCAAACCATGCCATGTTTTTTTGTGGGTCTTGGGTGAGAAAATATCCTGTCTCTCCTTCATTGGTAGCAGAATTATTAATGGTGCTAGGATGTTCATATCAGTAAGTTTTCCTGCCCCTACCGTAAGGTAAAGAGCTTTTTCCTTGACTTTCTCTCTGCTGCAAAGGATCTAACCTGCACCATTGGGAGGCGTTGGCGATGACAGAATTTGCTATCAGCTCTTTATTCCCACCCCCAACAATTTCAGGCTTTCCTTCATATGAGAGACTGATCTAGGCAAGGTGTGGGGATTTGTGTTTTCCTGTGGTGACAGCCCACCAGCCTCTGCAGACCCATATCAATGATATGACTCCTTGTGTCACCCAATGATGTGACTCACTCTGCCCCCAATCATTTTTGGGAACACAGGTGGAAGTTTGTGAAAACGGCCCTATCAGTGAGTGCAAGCCCCTCTTTGTGTCTGTGTCTCTGGCAGTTATATATTGTCATGAGAGCCCTTTGTCATTCACTGTGAAACATAGGATCTATTGCAAAAGACATTATCCCTGTAAATCGCAGTTCATGAGTGTATTACCTTGCTCCTATTCAGTCAGAGCAGGAGGGCACTGCTCTACCTTCTGCTATTGCATTTTGACCTCTGTAGGTCACTAATCCCCTTTATTAAAAAGTTTAACTTATTTATGTTTTATTTTTAAGGGTCTCATAGAGACTAGTATCTTTATTGGGATTTTGTGGATGGAGGACGAGTAAGCACCTGAGGGCTTTGTTACTTGTTCTGTGTCTTCAGCCAGGTTGTGGTTCATGGGAGTGAATATGAACTCAGGAAGGAAAAATCCCAAGGAACATTGCAAAGCTGAGGAATCAGACAATAGTCATTCATTCTGGTCCAAATGTGTTCTTTCTGAGACCTTTACAAATGGGTCTTGAAGCTGGGTTTATGAACACTAGGGATATGCAATGAACAGCCTTCACATTATTATTGACCTTGGTATTGACCCAAAGATCATGGGTAGTAACATTCCAAAATACATACATCAGTATTTCCCTTAAAGCACCTAGAAGAAACTGAAGGACTGTATGTCAGACATGTCTCTGCTCACTTTCCACCTGTTCCTGCATGGTGTTGACTTTGTCCATTAAAGCCTTGGCATGTTAGTCTGAGCTGCTTGGGTCCCTGGTGGGATGATTCCAGTACCCCTGCTGTGTCTGGTTCTGATGCTCCTCTGACTGTTCACATCACGCTTCATGCCTTTGGCATGCCTTGTGATCATTTCTTGATAGCAGGACATGATGTACTGGGTAAGTGGGACTGCTGTCAATTGATTTTCAGTGATAAACTGGTGAAGTGTATGGGGAGATGAAGCACTCTGTAGTCTTAGAGTTTTAGATCCCACTCAGTTGGAAAGAATTTGAACAGAGTGTGAGGTTGCTTACGCTGCTGGAACAAAGTATCGGCAACTGGGTGGCTTAAAAAGAGAAATTAATTGTCTCACTGTCCTGGAGACTAGAAGTTCAAAGTCAAGGTGTCAGCAGGAGTATCTCCTTCTGAGGACTGTGGGGAGCCCTGACCCAGGCCTGTCCCGGGCTTGTAGCTGCATTTTTCTGCTCTCAGCCTTCACATCCACGTGCTGCTCTCCCCATGTGTGTCCTGTCTCCACATTTCCTCACTGTGTAAGGATGGAAATCAATTGGATTAGCACCCTCCTAATGACATGATTTTAGCTTGATTATCCCTGTAAAGATCCTGTCTCCAAATAAGATGACATTCTGAAGTCCTGGGGATTAGGACTTCAACATCTGCAACATATGAATGTGTGTGTGTGTGTCGTGGGCACAATTCAGTCCATAATAAAAGTAAGTTTCTGTAAATCAATGAGTCTGTCCTTCTTTAATTTTAAAATCAACTTATACAGCATCCCTTCTACAGGTTAAAGACAGAATTGTGGAGCCTATCATTCTGATCAAAAGTCCTGTCTCCCCTTGTCAAGTATCTGAACCCTAGAAGAAGTCCCAAGTCCCTCCCTTAGGCTGACTAAGGGAATGTCTTCATTAGAAGAAAATGTAGAGTTAGATTTACCAGCTTGGAATCAGGAGAGTCTTCCTTAGAAGCTTAAATTTGACAATGTGAAAGTAAAAATATTCGTGATAAGAGTTGAGTAAACAAATTTAAAAGATACAATATATTTGGAGAAAGTATGTGCAATATATATATAGGCAAAGTAATGATCGCATTATTAAAATATTTTTACAAGTAAAATAGTTGTACAAATAAACAAGAAAAAGACAATGTGTTAAAGTGCCAACACATCAGGCAAGTTTTCAACTAGTAATCAGGAAAATGCAATTGAAAATATCCACAAAATATTTGCATGTTATCTAAAACCTAAAAAGGATTCAAAATAGTGTAAACCAAGATGCAGAGAAAGTGGTTTCCCATACCATTATTGGCAGTGTAGGTTTTCAGAGCCAGTTTGGAAGGCAACTTTTCAACATCTATAAAATATAAGGTAGGTGTATCCTTCATCCCAGTAATTTCATTTCTAAGAGTCATAAGAATATGTACATATGTATAAATATATATACTTACATAATATATATATACTTTCAATTCTGGTTATGATATCTGAGAGAAGTAAAAATTTTAAATATTATTAAAAGATGATTTTGCTATGTGCTCAGTCTGACGTGAAAAGGTAAAATTAGAACCCCATCCCTGAAGCTGTGCCCACACTCAGTGTGAGACGGTGATGTCCCAGGTGACGGAGGGGATGAAAACAAATTCTTTGCACAACTCAGTGATCGCCTCTCCCTCACCTGGAGGGAGCGTCGGTGTGCAACTGTAACAGCCCCCTCTTGTGGTTGTGCATGTGAACCCCTTCCTCAGAACCGGGAACCCAGTCAGTCAGCAATCTTTCCAAGTTTATGCTTCAGGACTAAAGATAAATACCTCGTATGTGCTGCCTCCCTCTAGAGCAGGGCTCCGTGAGGAGCTGCCAGCACAGTACTCTCAGTTTAAGGACTAAATTGTTTTCAGACACTTGGGGATTTTACAACAATTTCTGTCATGTTTTTCTCACAAAAATAGTTCTAAAATCCCCCTCAATCAGTTAATTCCTTCTATTCTCCTTAGTATCTTGTACATCCCAGGTCTGAAGGCAGTTCCCAAAGCCCACATCATTCATTGTTTACCATAGGATTTGGCACAGACTAAGCACTTAATAATAATTGGTTGGGTGAATGTATTAATTAACATTTACTGGGGGAAGTTACATGGAATGACTTCCAGAATTATTCCGAACAAACTCTTCTAATTTTCTGGAAGACAAATTGAACAAAAGTATCAAGCAATATAGATCAATGCCAAGATTAGAGCTGTAGGGAAATTTCAATTAAACAGCAACTCTCACTCCTCATCCTCTGAAAAAAAGAAGAATTTACAAAATCTAGGATAGGGACACACTGGTTGGCATGGTGGACATGTGGCCACACTTAATTAAAAAAATTTTTTTTATTAAGGTATTATTGATATACACTCTTATGAAGGTTTCACATGAAAAACCAAGGTGGTTTCTACATTTACCCATATTATCAAGTCCCCATCCATACCCCAATGCAGTCGCTGTCCACCAGTATAGTAAGATGCCACAGAGTCACCATTTGCCTTCTCTGTGCTACACTGTTTTCTCTGTGACTCCCCCCCACACCATGTGTACTAAACATAATACCCCTCAATCTCCTTCTCCCTGCCTCCCCACCCTCCCTCTCGCACCCCTCCCCTTTGGTAACCACTAGTCTCTTCTTGGAGTCTGTGCATCTGCTACGGTTTTGTTCTTTCAGTTTTGTTTCGTTGTTATACTCCACAAATGAGGGAAATCATTTGGCACTTATCTTTCTTCACCTGGATAATTTTACTGAGCATAATATCCTCCAGCTCCATCCATGTTGTTGTAAATGGTATGATTTCTTTCTTTCTTATAACTGAATAGTATTCCATTGTGTATATATGTACCACCTCTTCTTTATCCATTTGTTTACTGATGAACACTTAGGTTGTTTCCATATCTTGGCTATTGTACATAGTGCTGCAATTAACGTAAGGGTGCATATGTCTTTTTGAATCTGAGAAGCTGTATTCTTTGGGTAAATTCCAAGAAGTGGGATTCCCGGTCAAATAGTATTTCTATTTTTAGTTTTTAGAGGAACCTCCTTATTGCTTTCCACAATGGTTGAACGAGCTTGCATTCCCACCAGCAGTGTAGGAGGGATCCCCTTTCTCTGCATCCTTGCCAGCATTTGTTGTTCTTAGTCTTTTTGATGCTGGCCATCCTTACTAGTGTGAGGTGATATCACATTGTGGTTTTAATTTGCATTTCCCTGATGATTAGTGATGTGGAGCATCTTTTCATGTGTCTGTTGGCCATCTGAATTTCTTCTTTGGAGAATTGTCTCTTCATATCCTCCACCCATTTTTTAATAGGGTTATTTGCTTTTTGGGTGTGGAGGGATGTGAGTTCTTATATATTTTGGATGTTGTTGGATATGTCATTTATAAATATATTCTCCCATACTGTAGGATGCCTTTTTGTTCTGTTGATGGTGTCCTTTGCCATACAGAAACCTTTAACTGTGATGTAGTCCCATGTGTTCATTTTTTATTTTGTTTCCCTTTACTTGAGGAGATGTGTTTAGGAAGAAGTTTCTCATGTTTATATTCATGAGATTTTTGCCTATGTTGTCTTCTAAGAGTTTTATGGTTTCATGACTTACATTCAGGTCTTTGATTCAAGTTTACTTTTGTGTATGGGGTTAAACAAAAATCCACTTTAATTCTCTTAAATGTAGTTGTCCAGTTTTGCCAACACCAGCTGTTGAAGAGGCTGTCGTTTCCCCATTGTATGTCCATGGCTCCTTTATTGTATATTAATTGACCATATATAGTTGAGTTTATATCTGGGCTCTCTAGTCTCTTCCATTGGTCTATTGCTCTGTTCTTGTGCCAGTACCAAATTGTCTTGATTACTGTGGCTTTGTAGTAGAACTTGAAGTTGGGGAGTGTAATCTCCTCAGCTTTATTCTTTCTTCTCAATTGCTGTGGCTATTTGGGGTCTTTTGTGGTTCCATATGAATTTTAGAACGATTTGCTCTAGTTCATTGAAGAATGCTGTTGGATTTTGATAGGAATTGCATTGAATCTTTAGACTGCTTTAGGCAAGATGGCCATTTTAACCATATTAATTTTTCCTATCCATAAGCATGGGATGTGTTTCCATTTATTGGTTTTTTCTTCTTCAATTTCTCTCATGAGTGTCTTGTAGTTTTTGAAGTATACATCTTTCACTTCCTTGGTTAGGTTTATTCCTAGGTATTTTATTGTTTTTGAGGCAATTGTGAATGGAATTGTTTTTCTGATATCTCCCTCTGCTAGTTCATCATTAGTGTATAGGAATGAAACAGATTTCTGTGTATTAATTTTGTATCCTGCAACTTTGCGGAATTCAGATATTAGATCTAGTGGTTTTGAAGTGGATTCTTCAGGGTTTTTTTATGAACAATATCATGTCATCTGCAAACAGTGACCATTTAACTTATTCCTTACCAATGTGGATGCCTTTTATTTGTGTTGTCTAATTGCTGTGGTGAGGACCTCCAGAACTATGTTGAACGAAAGTGTAGAGAGTCGACATCCTTGTCTTGTTCCCGATCTTAAAGGAAAGGTGTTCAGCTTCTTGCTGTTAAGTATGATGTTGGCTGTGGGTTTGTCATATACGGTCTTTATTATGTTGAGGTACTTGCTCTCTATACCCATTTTGTTGAGTTTTCATCATGAATGGCTGTTGAATTTTGTCATATGCTTTTTCAGCATCTATGGAGATGATCATGTGGTTTTTGTCCTTTTTGTTTATGTGGTGGATGATGTTGATGGATTTTCCAATATTGTACCATCCTTGCATCCCTGGAATAAATCCTACTTGATCATGGTGTATGATCTTTTTGATATATTTTTGAATTCAGTTTGTTAATATTTTGCTGAGTATCTTTGCATCTATGTTCATCAGGGATATTGGTCTGTAATTTTCCTTTTTTTGTGGTGTCTTTGCCTGGTTTTGGTATTAGAGTGATGGTGGTCTCATAGAATGAGTTTGGAAGTATTCCGTCCTCTTCTACTTTTTGGAAAACTTTGAGGATGGGTATTGGTATTCTAAATGTTTGATAGAATTCAACAGATAAGTCATCTGTTCCAGATGTTTTGTTCTTAGGTAGTATTTTGATTACCAATTCAATTTCGTTGTTGGTAATTGGTCTATTCAGATTTACTGTTTCTTTCTGGGTCAGCTTTGGAAGGTTGTATTTTTCTAGAAATTTGTCCATTTCTTCTAGGTTATCCAGTTTGTTACCATATAATTTTTTATAGTATTCTCTAATAATTGTTTGTATTTCTGTGGTGTCTATAGTGATTTTTCCTTTCTCATTTCTGATTCTGTTTAACTGTGTAGACTCTCTTTTTTTCTTGATAAGTCTGGAATGCGGTTTATCTATTTTGCTTATTTTCTCGAAGAATCAGTTCTTGCTTTCATTGATTCTTTGATTCTATTGTTTTATTCTTCTTGATTTTATTTATTTCTGCTCTAATCTACATTATGTCCCTCCTTGAACTGACTTTGGCCTCATTTGTTCTTCTTTTTCTAGTTTCGTTAATTGTGAGTTTAGACTGTTCATATGGGAGTGTTCTTCTTTCCTGAGGTAGGCATGTATTGCAATATACTTTCCTGTTAGCACGGCCTTTGCTGTGTCCCACAGATTTTGTGGTGTTGAATTATTGTTGTCATTTGTCTCCATATATTGCTTGATCTCTGTTTTTATTTGGTCATTGATCCATTGGTTATTTAGGAGCATGTGGTGAAGCCTCCATGTGTTTGTGGGATTTTTCATTTTCTTTGCATAATTTATTTCTAGTTTCTTACCTTTGTGATCTGGGAAACTAATTGGTACATTTTCAATCTTTTTTATTTTATTGAGGCTCTTTTTGTGGCCTACAATCTTTTTGATTTTATTGAGGCTCTTTTTGTGGCCTAATATATGATCTATTCTTGAAAATGTTCCATGTGCACTTGAGAAGAATGTGTACTCTGCTGCTTTTGGGTGTA